ACTCCGCAATCTGATATATCACAATAAATAGAATAAAGAGAAAAAGTTCGCCCACCACAGCAACCTCCGCCACACATAACCGAAATCAAGGATCAACTTCTGTCTCCTCTAAACCACCGGATTTTTCCTGCCCAAGAAGGTGTCGCTCTCTCACAGGGCACTTGTGGGCGATAAAACGCAAGCTAATGTGAAAAGCCCAAAGAAGTCATACGGCACCTACTTGAATTAGGGAAGCACTTCCCTCTTCCCCAGCTCGATCGACATCATTGATATCTACTAATAATACCCCTCCCTGGTCTGGCTCCGCTATAGTCTAGGTTGACCCAAGATTTACATACGAGTTTTGGTTTGTTTGTTTTTTTTTTCATCCAAAGTTTTTACGTGCTGCACGTCAGCCCCACCGCCTCTGCTTTCGGCAGGCTGCCGAGGGGTGGTATCATGGCGGGTTAGCAACGATTGGATACCATGAACTGCATCGAAACAAATCAGTAGCCCGAAACTCAGCTAGCTGCTTCGCCATGATGTAAAAAAGCTCCGACAGGTCTGACGGCGTAGATTGGTCCGTCGGACACATGTAGGTATGCAAAGTTACTACTCGCAATGTCCTGGCGTTTTTGGACGTGACCAATATTGCATACCATACAAAAATACGCCAAGCTTCTGATTTTTTGGTGTATGCAATAGTGGCCCAGTTTAAAAACGTCAGGACATTGCGAGTATTCACCGGAGTCCCCGGAATGTTTCTTCCCATAAGCTCTCTCCCCTCGAGCTCCCTGTGGAAATGGACCTGGAACTATTCGGTACCCGTTCTTCGTATGTCTTGTCCATATGTTTGCATCTACATTGCTACTTACAATCTCTCTGAGCTTCAAGGAAAATTGTAAATCAAGATTTTGAGAAAAAAAGTTAACTTATAGTCCAGCCGATCACGCGTAACTACATGTATATCTCGGATTTCAAATCCTTCCAGCAAGCGCCCTGATGGCCATGCCCTGATCTTCAGGCCCAGGGCACGCGTAATAGCAGAATTCCTCAGCCTGCCCATTGTTGGTCAATTTGGCCGACTGCAATAATCACGTTGCTACTATCAGCTGCTGTGAATATTATTTTTGATATCATGATTCAACACCCACGATAAAGGAAGTTTACGGAACGACTCAAGACCATACTATCGTGAGACTGGTAACAAAGCCTGAATTGCTTCTTCTCACTTTTCACTTGTTGTTGATTGCTCGTATTCTGTATGCCCTACATCAGGTCTCTTTATGCGATGGACTTGTTCACGATCGTGAAAACCATAGCAATCGCCTATTGTACACCACCCTGGCTTATGGTGGTTTTGTGACAAACCATCTTACCTCTTGATCTCACCTAGATTAGAGGCCAGATAGATGGATGATAGATAGGATGGGATTTTTCTCACAGCTTCGAGAAGGCTTCTACATTCTGACATGACGAAGTTCATGTGGGGTCCAGTCAAGTGAAGTGCAATAGCTCCCAATTCGGCTACTCGGATCCGAACAGGTTGCGCCGTGTCTTGAGTTGCACCATTTCTTTTTGTTTTGTTTTCTCGACAGCCGCGATGAGATATAGGTTGAGTGAACTAATAAATAATTACCCCACAAACCAACTCGTCAGGGTGGTGGGAAATAAGTTAGTTATGCAGGAGCTGAGAATCCGATGTTTTGGCTGGGCTGGGAGGGATGGAGGGGCAGAGAGGTGCTGCTGCTGCTCATGCTGCTGCTATTGCTGAAGCTCCAACCAGCACCCAGCCAAACAGCCAGCTCTCGTTTTAGCCACCGGGAAGCGTGGATAAAAACTGAAACAACGCCCGAAAGGTGCATCGGAAAAGGGAAAGCTTCTGATTCGCTCTCCGCATATGGATGATCTTCCCTTTTGTTTATCTTATTCCCTTTTTTTTATTTTTTTTATTTTTTTTCTTTTATTTCTACCCTTTATTTGTGTGCGGCCTACACACCTTATTCACAAGGTAAGGTAGGGGTGGTCAGGTTCTGGTCCGCGTCCTTCTCAGGTCGATATCGTGCGACACAGAGCAAAACCGATTTCACCGGCGAAGCGGGGTAGTAGGTAAGGTTAGCTGCGATAGTACTGAGCTATGTTGGGAGGGGCGGAGGAAAGAAGACTCGCGGGGGAGGGAGGATCTAGGAGGGGCGAGAATACATACCACCCGATCTCCTTTCTCATTCATCAGGGATCACTCGCGAGGCTCGCTTCGCTTACTTGACTCGACTTACTATTCCTTAGTGCGGAGCCGCAAGTGCAAGAAGCGCAATCAATATGACAAGCAGGGAAAAGGAACTTCAGGGTGCACTGGAATGGTGGGGAAGAGCCCTTTCCTTAGCAGTTGCTAGATATGGCTCAGACACGTGTGATCAACATCGTGGCTGGGCCCTTCCCTTAACAAGAGTACTAATCGATTAGCTCGTTTGTTTAGCTCTAGATCATTGGCTCCCTGGCCCTTGTCTTGCTTGCTATCGTGAGCCCAACCAACACCCCGCCATGGTGGTTTATGGGTAGCGGTCTGATTGGTCGGGGTCGCTGTGCCGGAGGTCTTAGATTTTCTAGAGCACTCTACTGCTCTGGCTAGGCTAGCTACTAAGTTTACGGTCCACCTTGGCTTGTGTTGCTTGTGTTGCGATGATTGCGAATCCTTTTCTACGCCGAGTTGATTTCTTATGACTGACTGACTGACTGCGCGACTGCCTAACTGGCCGCTGACTATCTGACTGATCACCATTTATTGATCGATTGATTGATTGATTGATAGACTGACAAGACGGGATTGACAGGCCCGATATTAGATATCAGTACTGTATTTACTATACAGGCAATTGGGTACTAAGGAGGGGGCCGTCGGAGGGGGCCAATCAGCGCCGCACGCACTCTAGTCTAAAAACCCGGAAATCACAGTTTAGACTTTTCTGAAACGTGCGAGTGGGGCGGTCACTAACTTACCGACACGATCATCCTGAGTTTTGAGTTTCGATCAGGATTTTAAATTATTATTATTTTTCAAGCGAGACCAAGAGGCTTGATGCGTGCTTTAGAACTCTCCATCTTAGCTTAGGTACAGTAGTTACATGTAGCTAGCACTAAAACAAGAACCGGGGAAGGAAACCTGTATGTGTGGAGCTAGAGCTCACCCTACAGCGTGAGGTAGAAGTATGGGAAGAGCCCTATTGGCTTGCCCAGCCATAGAAACCCTGTTTTTAGACCCCTGTTTCTACAATAATTTTCCCTCTCGCTGTACATATGCTGGTGACAGCAATCTATGATGGCTACATGTACCGGACCGCCGTGCACTGTCTAACTAAGGTTGTGGAGTTACAGCTTGCGGTAAGATTATTGTAGAAATATGGGAGGAGTCCTATTGGCTTACCCAGCCACAGAAACCCTGTTTTTAGACCCCTGTTTCTACAATAATTTTACCTCTCGCTGTAGATAGATAGCTAGATAGATACAACATATTGTAGGCAGCAGATAGAAGTAGATAGACAGAGAGGCACAGGGAGCGATACAGTGAGTGGTACAAGATTGACAGTTGAACTGGGCCTGGGAATATACATACATTATACATTCCAGAGACGCAAGTCGAATACTCCAGATGTAGATGTAGTTAGTGCATCTCTGTCCGCCGCGGCCGCCGCTGCTGCAGAAACTAGAAGCTCCCTACATAAAAAGTAACATCTTCTCCACGATTTGACAAAGCTTCATTCTCCGCCCCATCGATCGGGCCGACCCACGCACGCTTCCATCTATAATCTACATACATGTATCTAACCCACATCCTGCATTCTATATACATACATCCCCCATACTAGAGTACGCATATCCACTCTTCAACCAACCCCCCGGTTCCCAGCGAGACAGAGAGCTAGTAAACACAAATCACCTTCCAAATATAAACCGCCGGCGCGGACAATAGAATGACGTCTACATTAGTCTCACCCCTTAGACCTGCGCATTTCGACGACCGGAACCCCACATCACCCGGCCGGGCACGGACACAGGAGTGGCCTTGCTTGCTTGTGTGCGTTCTTTCTTGCACATGCGAAGAGGGAGAACCATCCCTAGACGGGCTGTTAATGAAGTCACTGCAAGGTACGGATTTATATTCCGAAAGACGAGATCACAAGTTTGTTTTTGTTTTTCATTTTTCATTTTTTTTTTGTGGGCGGAGGGCTTGGTTTTGTGTAGTTAGGGTGGGGATACGGATTACTTTACGTTAAGAGTCTACGAGTTTACTGGGATATCGATTGACTGCTAACTGGTGGGGAGTCTTCTACTAGATCCTGTACCTCTACTTGTTGGTGTACAACCACTATAACCACCGCAACCTCCACAATCACAATCGCAACCTCCACCACAACCACCATCACCACCCGACATAATGAAACCCGGCGGTTTCGATGCGTGACCCTCCCTGCTCGCTGCAGATCCCCGACCGACCAGGCTCCAGAAAAAAAAAATTAAAAACCACCCCCTTTTTTTCTTTTCTTCATTTTTTCTTTATCTTTATTTAGGGCAAAGAAAGTATGCCTTGTGATATTACTTGTACTCTTGAGTTCTTTTCTTTCTTTCTTATTGTTTTTGTTTTTATCTATGGCCTTTGTGTAGCATGTAGACTGCTCTGTGTACCCACTCTCATCGTCGCACCGGCCAGGGCTACACATAGGGAGAGAGGGGGCTTAGAAGTCGTGCGCGCGCGTCTTAATCCGCCGCCGCCATCCGCCGTGCACCGCGCCACAGTTCTCATCGAGCTGAAGTACGTCTGGAAGACACACACAGAAGCAGTGGTGTTGGTGGCGCCTGGTGTACTTGAAGAAGTAGATCAGGAAGTGTGCGGTGAAAAAACAGATAGAGGGGTTTTGAAAGTAAGCATACCTACTACACTCAATCACCCACTGCATGGCTATCTACCTACATACGTCTCTATCGCGCGCATGTTTTTCTTTCTTTTTCTGTTTCGATTAATCGCCATGCAACCAGGGCAACTGGACTGGAATGGACTGGACCGTGCGACGATAGTGTATGTGGTGGAACAGCATGTATGTAGCTGCTCGCTGTGGAGAGATAAGTCTGTCGACATGTCTGTCTGGGCTGAATGGAGCGCGCTGAGACATATTGTTGGATTATCTGTAAACTCGATGAGGCGATGGATCGTGAGAGTCATTGACACCTTCTTGATGAGGATTAGACCATCGACAAAATATCAGCGATCACGGTAATGGTGTCTCTGAATGCCTTGTACTCCCATCGTGGTATTCACAGCTCATGTTAAGTGCGTGCAGAAAAAAGCGAGTGATATCAGATGTCTCAACTTCCCTCCATCCAATGGCCACGGGAGTAGAATCCTATCGACAGAATCAACTATAACCATTCCCCAGGAGAGGAATGGATCGAATGTGTATGATTTCCTAATCTTAATCCCTAAACTCATTTGCATGTGTGTGTCCATCACTACCGGCACCATTAATACCGCACCCCCCGCACTTGTCTGAGACACGGACACAGACACTGTTTCAGTGGGGTAGGTAAGTATTTGAACTGCGACCGAGAGGAGGGGAGGGCCCGCATGGGGAATCACTCGGGTCTCAGCCTTGTAGGTTACTGAAGACTGGATTTATTAGTTTAATTCAACTCGAGTGATCATGAAGATTTCTGACGGGCTGTAAAAGCCACTATCTTGTCGTCTTTGACTCATGGTTTAATTTGGCCAGGAAAGTGTAGTTTAATTACCGGGGGGTAACAATTCAGTGTCGATATAATTGTTCTGGTGTCATGTTAGCTAATTAGGTAAAAGCCTCCAGGATCACCATAAACAAAAAGCGCGGCAACAAAAACGGGTACAGTCATTCACGGAAACATCCTATTAATAAAGAGGGGGCCTAAGATGCGTACGTAGGGCAAACTGCACTGCGATATCTTGGTTTCTGTCAGCGTAAACCCCTCTATCTATTCGCCGACAAGGCCCTGCCTGTGTAGTGATTATTGGTTTTGACGCATAAGTACAAATCAGCACAAACAACTATTGTGACCTATCCTCCAGCTTTCATTTCCTCGGGTCACAGGATACCTTGATCAAATATTCCATTGAGACCGGCCGCGAAGTTGATACGTATCCCACAGTGCACGAAAAAAACGGGATGACATCAGAGCTACCGGGATCCTAGTATAACGATACTTGCTCCCATTAGCTCTCCCGCCCAGAAAAAAAGAGAAATTGGTCGAAGACTGCGTTCTCAGGCCAGGTTTAGTCACGCTGTGAGTGATTGATTGTTTCTCTCTGGAAAGTTAGCTAGCTAGCTAAGCTATATAAGTCATCCGTACCCACATCTTATCAGGTGATCTTCGAGGCCCCTGTGGGCATGTGAGGCGCTACCGTTTGTATTTAGGCAGAAGTCTCTAAAGTTACTAACAGAACGGAGTTTACCTTAATTGAGAATGACAGTGACGTTAGAAACTCCATGTCTGTGTAAATGCCTTGTATGTTGAAGTAGAGGCCTTTGCATGGGATAGTGTTGAAACAGAGCGAGCGTGTGAAGCGAATTTATTGTTTCATAGATGACAAAAAGTCAAGTATTCAGCTATTTGTATAGTCACGTATCAGACAGGACAGAGTGCCGGCATGATGTGTTCAAACACGATCTCATCATCAGTTGATAAGCCAGATATCCAACAAATGGTATGTACTTAGTGGCACACGTGCACGAGTGATAATCTGTGACCGTGCATCTACAAATTCTCGATTTATTTAAATTTGTCAGTGACGATACATATGTCTTACGTGAAATGCGGGTATTACTTTCCTCCCTAGTACTGGCCGGAGTAGAGATGACTTACTAGAGGGTGTAGATATCGATATTTTAGTAAAATAGCACAACCCGACAATTTACCACGTTTTGTTCGTTTACCCCCAGAACTGTAGTACTTTTGGGGTGAGTAAAAGTACTACATAATACCTCACCTATGCCCACCTATAGGCCTGTCTAAAGGTCTCGCAGCTGAAAACGTTCAACTGGCGAAAGACTTCTCCCATCAGCCTTAAAACACCGTTATTCTCAGACGAAATGTTGTTCGTATCTTACTAACCTCTCTAGTCTGTACATGTACAGAGAATAATATGTTCGGTAAAGAACTTCACGAAACCCTAACCCTTCACTCGGCGCCCTCACCAACAAGATACGACAGTGAGAACTAAGAGAGAATCTAGGATTGTCTAAGTTACGATTATGGGATTCAGGGAGGCCAGTTCTATATATCTAATAAGTATATAATTATAACCTGCATATGCAATGTGCTTTTATAGTCTTCTGATTGGTTCATTGAGAGATGTTTTTGTTTCACTTGAAACATGTTGTGATGGATATTAACATAGGGTATTGTGCTGAGTGGTGTTAGAGTGTTAATAGGGTTTCTACTGGTTCTGGGAATCAATAGTGGTTCGATTTTAGCGGTTTGGTAGCTGTTAAAGGGATATACCTGTAGTTTTAACTGGAGAAATTGTCTGACTTATCCGTTAATATAAGGGGATAATATATCAGAAAAGCCACATATTGACCAGATCAGATCTAGATATAGTGATGGACTTTGCCTGCCAGGAGGGGTCGAGGGCCGCGCAGTGGCCTGAGAGCCCCGACTGAGAGGAAAATAGAGAAATAAGCCGCAAAGCGGCTTGCCTGTATATTGGACTGATTGATATACATATAGTACCGGCCGAAGGCCGGAAACTACTTATACTTAACCTATAGTTATAGAGCCACCCGAACGATAGGCACGGGAAGACACAGGCTGATCTAAAAGTTAGAAATAAGGGAAAAGGTCTAAAACGACACAGTTTTCGGTATGCATGCTCTGCAATAACACATGATGCAAGATGACACGCCGAGAGTACAAAGACAATCGGGAAAAGAGAAAGAGAACAAAAGTTTCTAGAAAAGTACAAAAGGTACTGCAACGACTTATTGAGAAATTTGCGCTACTACCCCCACCCCTGGTTTGAACCCAGGACCTTATGTGTTTGGTTGTATCCTGGGTACGCTCGGTGTCTGACGAGCAGTCTATCCACTAGACCACCCGCCCATAGTGGAAGCTGTGCTGGAAGTGATACTTGAGCTTGGCGCACTGCCAAGATGAAATGTTCAACCACCCATTAGTATTCCATAAAGTACTAATCCACCTCGGAGCATACAAGTACATAACGAACTGTGCCATCTTTATTGAGAGCACGTATACTGAAAACTGTGTTATTTTAGGCCTCTTCCGTAGAAATGGGTTTTGAAAAGGGCCCAGGGTAGTAACCCCCGGAGTAGGCACCTTAGTAGCTACTTGTACTTACGTTATGAGAAACCGCAAAGGAGCTCGTATTGCACTGCGCTTAGTTAAACTTCGTTTTATTTGCTGTCTCCAGCGCTAGCCGTATATTTGATTACTAATCTTCATGAAATATCACTTGTCCAGGCCAGGAGTCCCGCGCTGAAGGTTCTTCCTCAGATGAGAGGAAATTGCGCACTATCAGCTCATTAGTGGCTTATCTAATAAATTAAGTGAAGAAAATTTAAATTATTTCAGCCGAAGATGTGTATCCCCCGCTGAACTTGGATATTTCCATTATTTTGTATGTAAATTCTTCCAGTGAATAATATAACACGTATTGAGTATATACAAGGGGGCTCGGGCATTATGGTCATTCAAGCCCGCTTCCGTCTAACAGAAAGTAAGTAGCCCTAACTTATTCTAGGAATCTAAGGCTTAGGTCTCGAGCTACATGTCTCGGGATAAACCGGATTTAACTCAGTGGCGACAATTTACGTCGACACAATATTCAGGTTTATTGTGCATGTGGGTACCAGATCAACAGACCTTCCGAAGGGTACTCTCATTCTCTCAAAATTAGAAGGCAGCCAGCGTTGAAGTTCTGGATTGGACTAAGACGCTAATTGCTGCCTTATATATAGGAATGACCGGCATCCACACAATCAATGAATTAATAACAATAATGATCAGTATCATGAAGTATCCCTCGAAAGTTTTGCAAGATTGATCGATTTAGGCAAGAACACCCATATAGTAGAAGTTCTTGTTTAATTCATTAACTGCATGCAACCTTACAGTTGTGGCAATAGTAGAAGATGTTGAACTAGATTTCCTTTCGAGGTTATGGTACTTAAAAGAGCGGGTGGATCTAGTACCTTTTCTGGTAGAATAGCTCGAGGCTGCGGTATTGCTATGGGATTGCTAAGCTATAATAGGGTTCCATTTTAATCGGAAGTTTTTTTTACTGTTGCGTGTTGATACAGAACCTATTACATCCCCTTTTGTGTACTGTATCTAGCTTGAACCTCTGGTCTCATGCGTGTCAGGTGTCAAAGAGCACGTCTACTAGTCACACCCTCAGTGTAATTCAGCCATACTAAGCAGCTGGTAGGCTCTTCCTGAAAGACCAGATACTACAGTTCTATTTATATCAATCATTGTGAAATATGGTATAAATAGGTCACAGCGAATCACTCGTTTATTGCATACAAAGGGAAATAACTCAGGCATGAAAGAAAAAAGAAAGTAGAAGTATGAATTTCGCCGCTCGTACCGTCCTATAAGAACATGATTTTGGATAGCTTTCGAAATGGAAGACACGATACGTACTACAGTTGATGATATTCAGTTATTAGCTTTCGATCCAGAAACTTTTGTTTGGATGTGACCCCCACCCACGTACATGACTCGATTAGTACTTAATATACGGTATAGTTCGGTGGTCTAGCCTTTGTGTTTTTACCGCCTCGCCTTGGCACCAATGTGTCCTCAATGTACTCGGAAGAACTCGGTCTACGTGTTCTGGAAATATGCTAGCTATTCTGGATCCAGGCCTATGAGCGTGACCTGCAATAGTATTTATTTATTTGCACTTATTTCCACCAAGACACATCTTATGTCGAAAAGACAGTACATGTTGTTTTCACCCCTATCAACTACTGGACCCATTCTTTCTTTACTCTTAACCTCGACTTCCTCTGTTTATGCAAACGATATGTATCTTTTCTAAAGCCCTGCCAAGCCGACATATTTTTTTTCGGCACTGCAAGATGCCCATTTAGTACCGAGAAGAAGTTTTATGATAGGTTACATACAGATTAACAACCCCACTTTGTTCAATTTTTTTATTTTATTGGTAGTGACAGCTAGAAAATTTGGTACGGTAGTTATTCTGACCAGCTGGGGTTGTACTTTTAGAATCCTCCACTCGTGGCTGGCGAACCAGGCGCAGTGATTGATACCTACGCTAAACAGTACTCAGTGTAGTGGCCCGGTTAAGAACCATGCAATGTTTTAAACAAACGTTTAAACAAGATCTGTTGGTTGGTTTGAACTTAAGTCTTTTCAACAGGTGTCGAGGAACCAACACACCTACCATGCAAGGTCCCGCCTCTACCCCCCTGTTACAAATATGATAATCCTATTCGATTAAACCGATCGGTGGTTTTCTTATATCTTATGAGAAAATCGGAAAAATGTCTTGTAACTACAAAAACTAGTGAACCGAGTGATATCACATGAATAAATATTGTGTGAGATGCGCTAGCGCCGATACACCAATATCCAAAGTATCTGATACGGTGAGACATCCATTTTGCATCTCTCTGTTCTAAAAATTCTCTTGTACTAGAATAATAACTGACGCCGTCTCTTTGTGGAAAGGAAATACTGATTGGTAAATAAAGCATCGGCTGTCGACGGGCCATTCTTAACTTCGGGAGATCCAGTAACACATGGCACTAACTAAAGGCGCATATGATTTACAGCCAAAAAGTGCTATTGATTGATAGCTAATCAGCCAAAAAACCTGGGACAGGAACCTTTAGCAACTGCCTCACTTCAGAGAATACTCAACTTTCAAAGGGGTTGGTGGAAAGTAAATGCGAGATCGAATCTTCTGGCTTGATGTAAGTAAGTACGGCATATGTATGTATATGCATGCTAATGCAAAGATGATATACTCTACTAGTATTTCGCTGACGTTTTTGAACTGGGCCATTATTGCATACACCCAAAATCATGAGCTTGGCGTATTTTTGTATAGCATGCAATATCAGTCGCGTCCACAAACGTCAGAGAAATACGAGTACCTACTTGGTTCCTTACTCTAGGTCCGAGCACTTCTACTCTTCTCGTA